TGTATAATTTTTAAATTTTTTAATAATTTTGTATTTTAAACTTTTAGCGGATAATATATTTTAAGTATACTTATATTAATATTTTTTAAACGAATTTGTTTGTGAGCTAACAAATCACAAATGTAAATATAAGAATTTTAGGTCCCCAAAAAAAATAATAAATCATGCAATTTGATGATGCGAGCTGATGACAAGTCTTGGGTGACATCAGCAGATGACGACATCTTCATTTTAAAAAGATTACGTTAATTTTCAATCGACGTTGAAGATTTACTATTGTAGCAGTTATGGTCCATAGAAGAAAATAGTGACGTAATAGGTTGAGTTTTAGCGAGTTTATTATTTATTTGTATTTGACTAGTTCAAAATTCTATCCATTTGAAATTGATTTATGTTCAAAATTATTGGTTAATATAATGTTCGAGTTAAATTCGTCTTAATATATCTTAATAAATTCGTTTAGTTTTTTTTTTTTTTTAACCCTAAACTCATTAGAAAATTCTCAGTTTTTTTTAAATAATAAATAATTCTAATTATATTATTTTTTTAGTTTTTTATTTATGTTTTCTTAAATATAAATCAAAATAACTTGAAATTTGCTTGAAATAACTTTATGCATATTTATGAGCTTTAGTAATTTTCCTAGATTTGTTTAAATTAATTTTGTTAATAATGAAAATAAAAAAGATTCCCAAAACCTTAAAAATCTAAATAAAATTTAAAAATTAATAAACTTTAAATTAAAACTAATCTTTCATTAAATTAAATTATTGAAAATTAAAAACAAAATAACAAACAAAGAATAATAGAGTGACTCGAGCTAAATATTACATTTAAATATTTTCCTACAAAACCTAATAAACCAAAACTATCTTAAGAATAAATATAGAACAAAAATAATAAAAATAATAATATTATTAAAAAAGAATAGATATAGAACAAATCTAAATTTCTTTTGATGATAAATTTTCACTAAAATTAAAATTTTGAAACAAAATAAAAATAATAAATCAACAAAACACAAAATTGAACAATTCAAAATAAATAGACAGACCTTAAAAAAAACAAACAGAAAATTTCAAGAGTTGTATTTCAGAAAATATTTTTATTTACTACTCTTAAAAAGATGTTCATATTAACATGCAGAAAATGTACACAATGAACAATTTTAAATGTTTAACGTATTTTTCAAACTTATATATATCATTACCTGAAAAACATTCATCAAACTCGTACATCTAGCCCGAATTTCAATGCAATTTTTGGATCAATTTTAATAAATTTATCATTAAAATTTATGTAATTTCAAAATCAAACATCAATGTCAATCTATTATAAATTTAAATAATAATAATAATAATAATTTTAGCACGGAGCAGAAAAAAAAAAAGCTTGGAAGAAAAATGAAGGCGACGATTTCCTACAGATCCTTCTCTGGAAGTTTGTGCAATACATTTGTAGACATGTAAGGCGATATGCATCCTCGTACCTGTATCAGGAAATTGCAGCGTTAGGAAACAGGTGAGGAAATTATAGATAACTTTGGCAATGCATTCAACTTAAGTTTAATTTGGGATAATTTTTTTATTATTTTTAAAAATAATTTTTTAATACAAAATTTTTAATTTAAAAAAAATTAATTAAAAATTTGTTTTAAAAGACAGTAAAATAAGTTGATAGTGAAACAAATTTAACAAATCATGAAATTGGTTCTTCATAAACTACTCAATCAACGCTTAAATAAATAATTATAGAAAAATTATTAGGTGCGGAGCTGGGTACCCAGCAGTACCGAGTGCCGGTACCTAGCGCCAAACAATACTTGTGCGGACGGTTCTCCCCGTCCGCACTCCGCACCTAATAATCTCTTCCCATCATAGACAAGGAATACCTGCAATAGACTGGTCGGAATTTCAATAAACCCTTGAAAGAGAATATCAACCTTCTCCAACTTGCATGGAGAAACAGGTGTAATCACATAAAGCATGCCTTTCTTGACATCTATGCCTCTTACAATACCTAGAAGATAGAATTTCAGATTAAATAAAATATATGTGGACAACATAACGAATATAGTTTTCTAGATCCCTTAAAACCAAGGATGGGTAAAAAGAGGCACAAGATTTCACGGTTGTAGACAAGTTTGTACGTGAAAAAGAATACTTAGTCCACTAAGTAGTCTATGTTTGTGAAAAACACAATAAGTTTCAGATAAGAATTCACAATCTCAATTTGAATAGAATGGAAAATTTTCTGAATATGTTAGACAAATCACACACCTTTAAGCAACTCATGCTTCCCACAACATTGAAAATGGCAATGCACAATATACCATTTCAACTAGAGTTACTAGCGCACCAGTTAGTTCTTGTGTATAATTTGAATAGAATGGAAAATTTTCTGAATATGTTAGACAAATCATACACAAATTGTAACTTAGATTAGCTCATATCATAACAGGACATCACACTCCATTTGTGATAAATTTTATCACCATAGAATATGATGCTATTTATGAATCGACCTCCTTCATTCAATCCTACTGAGTGCAGCAAAAGGATCCTTCAATGCTTGGAAGAGTATGAGAAAACATAATTAAATTTCAAAAAAAAAAAAAAGGTATTCAACAAGATGAACTGTAACCTGACGGATTTGCTATATATTGCATCTAAGAAAGACCTAGACTATCTTCTTCATGTAATTCAAAACATAAAATTAATATTTTTCCTTAAAACCTAAACCTGATAATAGAGAAGACATAACATAAAGCTCATTTGGTTAATTTAAGTTAGAAATGAAATTCTGAAAAATGATGATCTTTGTTAAATTCATCATTTGTTATACGAAATTGGACATTTGGATTGATTTCAAACTCCACAAGTCTTCTCAAAGCTCCCCAAAAAATAAAAATTTCAATCCAAATAAGTGAAAGCAGAATCCTTACTTTTCTAAGCATGTTTTACATCTGCGAGCAACCAAATGAGACATGAAAAAAGTTCCCTAATGCACAAGGTAAAAGATGCGCATACTTGATTTCACACTGCAGTAAAAAGTAACTAATATTACCAAGTCCAACACACCAAGGTGTGCACCGCGCTGACGATGTGGGCACAGTAGAGCTAGCAGCTAAGCCAACTATTGTAGCATTTAAACTGTAAAAAACCTCATGTTTTGGAACCTGAAATGCGAAAGAATATGAATATCACTTCCAGATGTATAAATACTCATATACAAAGTTTTTGGCCATACTTTTTACCATAAGAGCTTACTATAGTATGAAGCTGAAATGCTGTATACTTAATTCAGAAGATTTTCAAGAAAGACAAAATTGTACCTGAATATTCCAGCAAGGGTAAAACAAATTATGAAAATAAAAACATTAAACTATTAGTAAAGTTTCTAGCACGACTTAAAAAATGAAAAGAGAACACAAGGCCTTAAACTTACAGATTTTTTACCACCTTTATTTTTTTCTTTTTTTGGAAAACCAGGGGCAAAAGCCCATATATTAATGAAAAAACAATTAGAGTGTAAAATAGGAAAAACCTATAGCATAAGAGAAGAAACAAAGGAATACAAAAGAAAATCCCTCAACCCGCCAAGAAAAAAGGCTGGGAGGGATCAAAACCAACCCGACTCAGAGAAACCAGGCACGACCTCAGTCATCAAAACCTCAGTAATAAGGCATCCCGAATAACATAGGCAACTCTGATTTCCAAAAGGCCAAAACAAGCAGCGAAACCCGTCCAGCAAAAACACAAAAGAGCACAGTGGCTATCACAGAGCCCCAGCAGCAGTTGAATAGAATCCATTCAGCAAAATTCAATGGTTGCCACAAGGGCCATCCATAGATAGAATGGGAGGATCGGCCAAAGCATAGTCGGTGAAGCCAAAACATCCAAAAAAAATGGTTCAAGCAACCAATCAAAAAATTCCCGATATTAAAAGATTGCAAAAACACTTCCATATCATATCTTTCGATTCCAGCTCTTCACTTTGAGAAGAATAGCAAAATTAATAACATGCCTAATAGAATTAGGAGAAGCCCAGGTATTAGAGAAACGATGGTTGTTTCTCTCCCTCCAAAGATAGTAAATAATACACCTGATCGAAAAGAAACAAAAGTTTTTCTCCAAAATATTGAACTGCTGAAAATTGTCAATATAATCATAAATCTGGGCCAGATTAGATCTGAGGTATAAAGAGTTAAGCACAAGAAGAGTCGCCTTGAGGGTCAAAAAGGAGTAATCACATTCAAAGAACAAGTGAGCATGACTTTCCAGCAAATTATGGCAAAAAGAGCAAGCCGGCTAAACATGGATCCATGGCTTAAAATTGTGCAATATGAGGCTCGCCTTGAGGCCCGCCTTTGCGCAATTCCATAAAAAACGCCTCGATGCTTACGCCTAGAGTTTTTTTTATGAGGCTTGCGCCTCAACTTAGTTGAGGCACACCTTGAGGCCCGCCTCGCCTCGCTGGCATGAGGCTTACGCATCACGCTATATATATTAAAACTTACATAAATCTTGAAGTAAATGCCCGACATTGGACTCTATAGGAGAGGAGGAAGGGGAGAGAGCAATTCATCATAATTTGAATTATGATTCAAATGAATAACTCCTTAGTGATGACAGTGTTGATGACTTATGAGTTCTTATGTGATATGTCATTGTTATTTATTTTTGAAAATTTGAATTATATGTTAATGAAAAGAATACTGGGATTTGGGAAAGATAGAATTTTGAGTTGAACTATATTTCATGTTGTCTTATTATTAGGATATTTTGATTTCACTTCATATCTTATATTTTTTTTATGTTTTATATTATTCACTCATTAGTATATAAAAAAATTATCATTTTATGTTTACGCAAAGCCTCAAAACGCCTTGAGGCTTACGCCTCGCCTCACGAATGAAAAAACGCCTCAATACCCGAATACGCAATTTTAAACATTGCATGGATCCCCCTATTGATTAATAAATCTGCAGTTTTTAACTTCCCAATCATAGCCATCCAAGGGTAGCAAGCATATATAAGAGAATGCTTTTTGTGCCAAATGAATTTAAACCAATGGACCTCCTCTAAGTGAGAAAAAAATTGATAAGTGAAGCCCCTGAAAGAGGGTCGAGAAACCCATTCCAGAGAATAGCCGATTCGCCATGAATCCTTATCTCTTTGATAGTTGCACTTATAGAAATCAGATTAGAATCGGGAAGATCCCGCTGATTATGACTAATAAAATCCTTCACCAGTTTATGGGAAATCGAAGAGAGAATAATGCATTGAGAGACTGAATTCTTGTTGAGCCAAGGATCCCAAAGCATAGAAAAATTACAATCAGGGACAACCAAAAGGGAGAAACAATTTTTAATTTTCTCAGCAGTGGCATAAATCAATTTCCAAGATTTGGAAGGATTGGCAGGGGTCGTTTCCAAGGCGATTCATATTTCGCTTTAAACCAAATGCTCACGAAAGAATTAAACTTATACATGCGGAATATAAAAGAGCAGTTAACTCCATGATAAAGAGAATCAAAAGAAGGGATGCCCAAACCACCAAAACATTTCGATTTTGTTGTATGTTTCCAAGCAATTAAATGAAATTTCTTGTCAATAATATTGCTAAGATAAAAAAACCGTGAGCACAGTTTAGAAATCACCAATGGCAAGCTTTAAGAATGATGGATCCTCTAATCCAATACGCAATAGTATTTGCTATAGTGAACTTCAAAAATTTTACTCTACCAGCAAAAGAGAGACTTAACTTTCCAACCTGCAAGTAGAGCAGTAATTTTGCTCAATAGAGGTTGGAAGTGAGTAAAATTTAATCTATTGGGAGAGATCGGAAGGCCCAAATAAGTGAGGGAGCAATCCACTTGGGAAATGCAAAGATGAGCACATAAATCACTGGCCTGCAGGACGTTTCTAGAGAAGATAATGGAACTTTTAGATGGGTTGACGTGTAGGCCAGAGGTCATCCCGAATTTCTAAAGACAAACATTCAAGCTGATAGCATTATGCTGCGAGGCAACACCAAACACTAAAAGATCATAAGCATACATCAAGTGGTTTATGTAAACATCTTTACAATGAATGCCTAAGAAGTGGTGAGGTAAGAGGTGCCCGTAAGAATGTTCGAGGGACCATCCATGACAATACAAAAGAGGAGAGGAGAAAGCATGCAACCTTGCCTCAGCCCAGAAGTAGATTTGAAAAAACCTTCCAACGATCCATTCAGGCAAATGGAGAAATAAACATATGAAAAGGAACCTTTTATCCATTTGATGAATAAAGGAGGGAACCTTTATGCATAAGTCTATTAATAAGGAAATCCCAAGAGCCCAAGTCAAATGCTTTATTTATGTCCAGTATAGCACAAAAACATTTATGATAACCTTTGAATTCTCTGAGAATCTCCGAGGTTGTCTGAAGAACACCTATTGGAGATGAAGCCAGATTGTGTATCATTGATGATGAGAGGTAAAACAATTTTCAATCTATTGGCAACGATTTTAGCAACAATTTTGTAAAATGCATTGCACAAGAAAATCGGTTTGAAGTCAGAAATGTTGGAAGCATAAGAACATTTGAGAATCAAAGTGATGCTCGTAGCTTTCACACCACTAGGGAAAGAACCATTAGAAAAAAAAATTTAACCGCGTTAAAAACATGAAAACCAATTATATGCCAAATCTGTCTATACAAAGCAAATTTAAAGCCATCAGGCCCAGGAGGGCTCTTTTTCTTCAAAAACCACATATTTAACCTCCTCAATAGTCACCGGAGCAATTAGAAAATTGCATAAATGAGACTGAATCTATTTTCCATGAGGTATGTCCATAGAGTGAGTTAGGTTAGGACTGGGAAATTAAAAAGATCTTTGAAGTGATTAATAATTGCAGTTGAAACTTCAGGAGGGGAGGTAAAGTGGCCAGCAGGAGTAGAAATCTCCTTAATGTGATTATTGTTTTTCCTGGATCTAAGCTTAGCATAAAGAAAACCCAGGTCATCTTCTCTATTAGTAAGCCATCTAGCTTTCGCACGTTGGAAAATCCAGGAGGACCAAGAAAATTGTAAAACAGCAAAGTTATCATTGATATTCTTTATAGAGCTATTTAACTCAAGATCTAAAGGCTGAGACTGAATAGCCAAGAGGTATTGTTGTTGTTTACTCTTTAATTCCATAATTGCATTAGAGAGATAGTTCGAAGAATCCCAATTTTTTTTTCCTTTAAGAGCTCTCTTATGCAAACTGTGATAAAAAATAATAATAGGACTCCCAGATGATCTATTAGCAAAGGCAAAAATAACCTCTTCCCAAAAACCATTTCATATGAATCCAGTAGTTTTTAAACATGAACCTAGTGACAGTCGATTTGTTATGGGAAGCCATGAAGATTAATGGAGAGTGGTAAGAACCAGAGGGGGAACAACCTTGTAGTAAGCATTATGAAAGTTATCAAGCAACATAGAATTTACCAAAATTATATCAAGTTTGATATGTATAGGATTAAACACTCTTTGATTAAACTAGGTGTAAAAAAGACCTACCGAAGCAAGATCTTGTACACCACAATTAAAAATAACATTGTTAAGATTCCCCAGTCTACCAGCAGATAACGTAGTTCCACTAGCTTTTTCGGATAAAAAACCTACAACAATTAAAGTCACCAAGAATAATCCAAGGATGATCCCTAGTAGGGATTAAATCATTCAGTTGATTCAAAAGTCTTCTCCAGTCATCCATATTATTAGCTGCATAAATAACTGAAAGGTAAATAGGGGGCAAGAGCCCGTAGAGAAAATACCGTGGATGATTTGAGGAGTAACAAGGGTGGCAGAGAAAGAAAAAACAGAAAAGTCCCATTTTAACCAAATCCTACCAGGGTAGAAACCCTGAAATTATTGCAACTACCTTCATTTTCAAAAAGCAAGTGAGAGTTAAGAAACCAAGGATCTTCATCAACCGGATGGAAAATTTTAGCTTCCAGGATATACAAAAGTTTCAGATTATGCGTACTGATCAACGATTTACAAAATCACACCTTGTTGGGGTTGTTAAACCTCCTAACATTCCAACTGGCAAAAGGCAGGAAGGATATTAAGTCCTAGTGGATTTGGCCTTCTTGGCCGATTTGGCTTTAGGGGGTTTAGTCTTGGATGGAGATTTGGGGTTA